TGGGGGCTCCAGGGCACTGAGCTATCCAACATCAAAGCCTGGCCCAGGCAGAGCCCGGCAGGCTATCTCTGGGTGGGGAGGGACCCCCAAACCAAAGTCCTCTGGGGGGGGACAGGCGTGGGCAGGCATTCTTGGGGCAGGGTGGGGGAGGGACGAGAGTATTTTTCTTGGTGTAACTATAAATTCAGAATCTATCCTGCAGCCCAACCCTCCTGTGTATAGAGATATAGAGGGAAAGATATAAGAACTACATTTGCTAATGACATAGTTTTAACCCAAATGCTATTTATCTCCAAGCCATCCTAACCTGTCCTCTGTGCAGAGCAAGTTATCATTCCTTTTTCTTCTCTACTTCTTGGCTTCTGACCAAAAACCGGACCCTGCACCTCCCCAGGGGGAGAGGGAAGGAGCTGAGGGCGCCCAGGACTGCCCTTCCTGGAGGCCAGAGCTGGGGAGAGGGGACCCCTAGACTCTCAGTTTGTACATTTTCCATTTTGGAATTTTCAGTTTCAATTATAAAACTTAATTTCTCCCCAGTTTTTATATATATATATATTTTTAGAGTTGAGTTTTTATTTATTAAAAAAGCCCGGCCCTGCAGAAGCTCGGGTACCCTTGGGTGGTGTGTCCTCAGTCGGGTGATTTTGGGCCCGAGTGGGGCGACCTAGCCACAGACTTTTGCTCTGACGCATGGACTGAAGAGGTGACAACTGTGTGAATAAAGTACATGTGGAAACTTGGGCCCCATGGTCACTGATGTTCCTAAGGGTGTCCGCGGGGGTATGGCCAGCCGGTTGCTGGTAAGGGCGTCTGGATGGACAGGCCGAGGAGAAATGGGCCACCTGTGGTCACTGGGGTAACGGACTTGACCCCGAAAACCCAGCAGGATTACCCAGGGGGGTTGGGCCTTTTCTGATCCGCCCTCCCCCAACTCGGCACAGGCTTCTGGACAGTTGGTTCAACTCTTTATTCAGCACCTGGTTGACACCCAGACTCTGCTGCACCGAGCTGGCTTCCTAGGGAGCGGGGAGAAGGCAGGCACGTGTGGGCCCGCCTGCACCCCACCCGCATCTGACCACAGGGCGGGTTGCCCGACAGGCCCAGAAAAGGAAGTGTCCGGGCCGCGGGAGCCGCCAG